AGAAATCATCATCCGTTTTTGTTTTTTTTTTTAACATTTTATCGCATTTTGGTGAAAGTATACACAGCAAAACAGATTCCTACTCAACAATTTCCACACATAATGTTCAGTGACCTTGGTTACATTCTTTAATTTATGTCAACATTTTCATTGTTTCCATTCTAGTTGTTCCACTCCTGTTGGTCTCACGGTGCCCCAAACTTCTCATCTATGCTTTACAATAACTGTTGTCCATTTGGTCTAATATGGATAATTTTTAAAAGAGTCAAGTTTTCAATGGTAAAATTCTTAATTTTTTTAGCTAACATGCTAAAAGGTAGTTAAATTAAAAGGTAATTTCAGGGGATAGTTTTTGTTCAAGGTTTAAAGAATATCTCAGGGCAATAGTCTCAAGGATTCCTCCAGTTTCAGTGGGTCCAGTAAGTCTGGATTCTTTGAGAATTTGAAGTTCTTTTCCACCTTGTTTTCCCCTGTCTATCAGGATCCATCTATTGTGACCCTGATCAGAAAGTTCAGTAGTAGTAACCAGGTACCATCTAGTTCTTCTGATCTCCAGGTAGAGGAGGCCAGGGTTCATGGAGACCATACCATTAGTCCTGTGTTCCAGTTCCTTTTCTGATTCTTGGATTTTCTTCATTCTCTTTTATTCTAGGTGAATAGAGACCAATAGTTGTATCTTAGATGGCCAATCACATCACCATCTTTTTCTTTTTGCATTTTATTTTATTGTAAATTTTTTTATTGTATTTTAGATGAAGGTTTACAGAACAAATAGTTTCTCATTAAACAGTTAGTACACATATTGTTTTATGACATTGGTTAACAACCCACAACATGTCAACACTCTCCCTTCTTGACCTTGGGTTCCCTATTACCAAATCTCCTGTCCCCTCCAGCCTTCTAGTCCTTGTCCTGGGCTGTTGTGCCCCATTAGTCTTGTTTTGTTTTATGGGCCTGTCTAATCTTTGGCTGAAGGGTGAACTTGAGGAGTGTCTTTGTTACTGAGCGAAAAGGTTTCTCCAGTCTCTGTTAGGCCAGTAAGTCTGGTCCTTTTTTGTGAGTTAGAATTTTGTTCTGCATTTTTCTCCATCTCTGTCTGGGACCCTCTGTTGTGATCCCTGTCAGAGCAGTCAGTGGTGGTAGCTGGGCACCATCTAGTGGTACTGGACTCGGTCTGGTGGAGGCCATGGTAGTTGTGGTCCATTAGTCCTTCGGACTAATCTTTCCCTTGTGTCTTGTTTTCTTCATTCTCACTTGCTCCCAAAGGGGTGAGACCAGTGGAGTATCTTAGATGGCTGCTCACAGGCTTTTAAGACCCCAGATGCTACTCACCAAGGTAGAATGTAGAACATTTTCTTTATA